GCAGAGGCTCACTGTCCAGTAAGAATGCTCGTTAGATAGGTTTTTGCCATTTCCACGGTATTCCACCAATCAAAAGTTACATCCGATATTCTGACTGAAAACGGCCATTCCAGCGTTTTGATTGGATCGGCGTGATCTGAGATAGCGTGCATGGTTCCAGAGGTTTTTCCCGCTCGCCCGTCCGTCACTATATTTTTTTGCGTTGCGAGCGTGGAAAAACCTCTGGCACCCAGGGTAGATATATCCAAGATTGTAGCACTTATGCTTTGTGATAAACGTGTGTTTCAATCTTGCCACATTCCCATACATAAAATCATCCATGTAGGGCAAGTAACCAGTCTCTAATGCTGCACACTGATCTCAAAAGACGGCTGGAACGAATAGTCTCCTGGTTGTCAGTAATCAGGGTCAGAAAATCCAGACTTTTTTCCCTCCAACGGTACCGAACCGGCACATAAAAATCTGAAATCTTGCGGCAAGTTTGTCAACAATTTTTGACAATGCTATTATGCTGATTACTTTGCAACCGGTTGTCACTGAACACTTACTGTCGTTCCAATTGAAGTGTTGCTAAAATATTGATTCAACACATTACCTCGAGCTGACCAATTCATTTCATCAAGTTTCTCGAGATATTCATACACTTCCTAGTATAATTGTAAACTTCCTGTTGAATAGTTTGAATGCACCAATCACCTTTGTTGTTTGTGCAACTAACCAATCATAAATAGAAAGGAAGTGACTAGAAATTATCAAATACTTGGAATTAGCTCTTTCACAGGAAGTGTATGAATATCTCCAGGAACTTGATCAAATGAATTGGCCAGCCCGAGGTAATGTATTGAATCAATATTTGAGCAACACTTCAATTGGAACGACAGTAACATTAACAAGTTGTTAGAATGAAGGACGATACCAATTGGTTACTCGACCAACTTGTAACAGGCCTATATCGTATCAACAATTAACGTCAAGCAAGTATGTTATCACGTGTGTAGTTCAATACGAGAACGTAAAATTCTGGCCCAATACGTGCGGAATCTCGTTCGCAAAAATCGTAAAATGTGATCAGCGCTGGCCCGCGGAAATTGTGGGGCCTTAATCGTTCTCGTACCCTGAGCCCTTCTTACGCGCGGTGCGACGAGGGGCTCTGGCCAAATCCATATTCCGAACTGGCATCTGATTGGCTAGTTTTAACACCGGCCATTGTTTTCTTACCATGTTTTTATGGTATCCGGTTATGAATTTGGCCTGAGCCCCTCGTCGCACCAGCTCTGGGTACAAGAATGGGTCTTAATTAGCAAATTATTGATGGCGACAATTAGCCATTCCGAAGTTGATGAGTGGACTGGGGACGAGTGTTAAAAAGTGCTCAAATTAAGAAATGAACAAAATAACTAAAAAGACCATCTCAAAATTAGTAAGTATACAAAGTTTGAAGACTTCTACATGAATACTCTTCGAATAATAAGCTTTCGAAAACTGTGAAATTACTGATTAAAAGATTGTTTTTGGGACGCGCGTCCCAAAAACAAAAATTGCATACATTTCATAGTAAATATCACGATTATCGAAAGCTTATTATTCGAAGGATATTCATGTGAATGTCTTCAAACTTCGTATACAGACTAATTTCGAGGTGGTCTTTTTAGTGATTTGGTTCATTTCTTAATTTAGGCACATTTTAACACTCGTCCCCAGTCCACACAGCCTCTACTGAAGAGGCTGTGTTACAGCGAAATCGATTTATTTTACCGCCAACTTTATAATTTAAAAAAAGTTTTTTATTTGCATACAGCATGGTTTTAACTAATTAATTATTTAAAGTGTGTTGAAAGAGAAATATAGACGATATGTCTTCGAAAAGCACAAAGTTATCAAGCTCTTTCCTTGCTTTAACTAGAGAAATTTCCCAAATAGGTGTCCCAGCCATCCGTGACTGACTTCACGTCACATCTGACTGTATGTATTGTACTGAACTATATATATATATATATATATATATATATATATATATATATATATATATATATATATATATATATATATATATATATATATATATATATATATATATATATATATATATGTATATATATATATAATTTGTTATCTTAAAATGTTTCAATTTCTCGCTACTTTAAGTTTCATGCCACTATTTGTGGCAATCTTCAGGCGATTAAATTCAGTTCGTTATAATGGCGTGATCTATAGTTTGCTGACGTGCATGCACCGTCATTCGCACGCGCGTTCAAAATTTCCCGCCCAAAATTTCTCGCGATGTCGGCATTTTGCGAATATCTCGGGTCTTTTGTTCAGTGTTAAATGCTTGTTTGCATCCATTATGCAGAGTTTTTCTTCTATGCAGAGATTGCAACGCTTTGCACCAGATGAGTATGCGCCTGCCGAGTATGATGATGAGTATGCGCCTACCTGAAGTAGCGAGAAATTGAAACATTTTAAGATAACAAATTAATTCGCTCTGCTAAATAATTTGTAGTATTGAGCACTCTTTTATCTATAACGAAAAACAAAACTGTTTATATA